CCCCTAGACAACTCGAGGGACACCAAAAAGCCTCGAAGAGGCACCCGTGGAAACCTCCAGCAAATCCCTGGGACACAAGAGAGAAACGCACTACTAATTCCGCCGACCCCGAGGCCCAGTTAAGGACTCAGGTACTCAGTGGAGTTGTTTGAGGTTCAGAAACTGGTTCAGCCTGTGACGCCGTCTGTGGTGGCCAATGTTGCGGCGGCGCCGCCTGCGCGCCCTGGTGTGGTGTGGGGAGGGGGAGGAGGGGGGGGAAACGAGCCCATGGGCTTCCGAAACCTCGAAGTCTGCACTCCGTGGCCTCCGGGATGCCCGAGATGCAAATCCAAGCTGGCTCGAGCCGGGCCCCGACACGCCGAGGAGCCATGCAAGACTACAGAGATGCCGTCGCTCGGACGTCCATTTCCCGTGCATTTTTCGATGTCGTGCGTGTTTTGTTTGCTCGATGGTCCAGGATGGTCCTCGATGGTTCTCGCCGAGAAAAAATGCACACGTCCGAGCGATGCCAAGTCCAAGACGCCGCAAAAGGAATCCAAAACGACCCCAGACAAAGCCCCAAGAAGCAAACATCATCAAAATCCTTTGTGGGGAAGCGTGCATTGTGAACAAAGGCACATTGTTGGTCTCATCGGCGGCCAAGACCGCCCAAGAGGCCCCAAACATGATTGCAAAACACCCCAAGAAGGCCCCAAGATGGCCGAAGAGGGCCCCAACACGGCCCCAAAGGCGCCGCAATGGCCAAAAACAGCCACAACAGGACCCCAGGAGAGGCCCAAGAGAGGTAGCTCGAACTGACATTCCGAGCCGTCCGCCCCAAGAGGACCCCCGAGACCGCCAGCAGGCGCCCGGGAAACCACAAAAGGCTCGAGGAGACCCAAGAGAGGCCCCCAGTGGGTCTCCGAGAGGCCCCAAAAGATCTCACCCGTGGAGTTCATCCCTCTTCTGGGAGTCGGAATGTCGCAAGTCTCTTGAACAATGTTGACATTCAGCGAGCTTGACTGACGGAACTGTTTGGTCTCAGATGGCGTTCGTAGTGCATGGGGAACTCAGACATGGCCCCCCAATCGACCCAAGACAACCTCAAGATGACCGGAGACCCTCCATGGCGGCCCAAGACTGCCCCAAAGGGCTGGAATTTGGCATGATCAGCCCAGACTGCCACCTAAATTGTGCAAGTGGGACCCTTCGGGAAGGCTTGCTAGAACCATCGAGCCCAGGACAGCCTCCAGGCACCCATCAGGCGCCACTGAGGCCTCAAACATCTCTCGAAAGGGCCCACACAGGACACCCCCAAAGTCACAAGCAGCCCCCCAGAGGCAACTCAATCGGAAAAGTGTATAGTTCGCCGGTCGGCCTGCAGATTCTGATGTTTCAGCCCTTCTGCCCAAATCCACCGATCCAGCGTGTGAGTTTCTGAGAGCGTGGACTTGAGCTCGCCCAAGCTTCGCTCTGCAAAGGGGGGGACGCCATTCCCGACGTGTTCAGTGCTCGGGGGCGGGGGGGGCCAGAGGCCCCCAAGAAGCCCCCAAGAGGCTCTGGGAGGGGGGAGGGGGGCGGGGGGGCGCCATTCCCAACGACGCATTTAGTACTCGGGGGCCCCCAGGAGACTCTGGAAGGGGCAGGGGGGGTCACAGGCCCCCAAGAAGCCCCCAGGAGGCCCCAGAAGGCCCCCAAGAGGCCCGAAAGAGGCCCCAAAACGACCCCCAAGAGGCTTCCCTAGGTCCCTTGGTCAATCCCCTGAGCCTCAGTCCTCAAGCCTGAGGATTCTTACGGGCCTGGACCCAAAGCTCTCAAATCTCTTGAGGCTCCCCGCGCGCACTCTGGGGCCCCCAGAATGTTCCCGCATGAGTATTTCGAGCCCGAGAGAAACCCAAAACGGGCCGACAGGGCCCCAAGACGGCCCAAGAATGCCCCGAATGACCGAACGATCGGTCTAAGACGCCCAAGATGGCCCCATGCCCATTACAATGATAAACATCATCACCATCATCATCATCATCATCATCATCATCATCACCATCATCAGCAGCAGCAGCAGCAGCATCATCACCATCACCATCATCATCATCACCATCATCATCACCATCATCATCAGCAGCATCATCATCACCATCATCAGCAGCAGCATCACCATCATCATCATCAGCAGCAGCATCATCAGAATCATCGTCATCATAATCATCATCAGCATCATCGTCATCATCCTCGTCATCCAAATCACTACCACCATCATCATCATCATCATCATCATCATCATCATCATCATCAGCAGCAGCAGCATAATCAACAGCATCATCATCATCATCAGCAACATCATCATCAACATCATCATCAACATCATCATCATCAAACATCAGCATCATCAGCATCATCATTATCCGGAACGCCCTGCATCGGCGGCACTGGCCGGATGCCAACACACTGAGCATTGTCTGAAATGAACTCGACATCTGCGCGACGCGACGGCAGGTGCCTGAATCAAGCGAGCTTGCGGTATGAAAAAAGCGCCCAGTACGCCGCCGAGAGACAATGGAATAAAGTGAGCATCGTGAAAACGACCCCTATCCCCATGGGCGTGGCCTGGGCCCCACTGGCCCATTGACCCGCCGTAGATGGAGGCCGTTTCCTTAGGGTTTCGAAGGATCTATCCCCAACGGGGGTGCTGAGATGATGGGGGACGGGGGCCGGTTAAACGATACTGGAGATAAAAGCCCGCCGCCCACGTGAAATCCTCCACGCGCCAATGGCGCAGCCTGAGCGGCCAGAAGCTGCGAGTGATTTCCACGTCACAGGAATGCACAGAAAAACTGCATCGAGAATCAGTTAGCACCCAGGGTTCCCCAAGATCTTGTCGAGACGAAACAGGGAGCTTCCAAAATGACGCAAATGGCCGATCATTCGCAGGGGGGCTCGACAGAGCGAATCTGACATCCGACGACTCACGCGGCGGGTCGTCAACGAGGCCAGGGGGGTCCGAAAACAAGCCCCCTGGAAGGATCCTCGGGGAGCCACTCGGATGCGCCCCAGCCCCGCGGCGAGTGAAATTCTAAAGACTACGCCCTGGCAAGCCCAGAGCCACACAAACATTGATTTCACCGATCCAGACTGGCGCAGGTTCCAGGGAAGGACGCTACGCGAGCCCTGACACGAAAGGCCGATCGACGCAGGGCCGCGCCCCCGCTTGAGCACGCGCATCAGAGGCGCAGCATGCGCAGCTCCGCGCCTGAGGCCCTGGGAGAGGAACGGTGCAGGCAGTAGTTTGAGCGACGAGGGCCCCAATCGACACCGCTGGATAGCCTTGAACGACGCGGTGATGAAGGAAGATCAAACCACGGTTCTGTAAACCACATACGCCCTGGTCCGCTCGATCGGGCACATGCATCGCGCTGCGCGGCGCAGTCCATCAACATATAGTAGTAGATGTCTGGCAGATTGGTATATCTCGAGGAGGCTGGCAGCACCTCGCAATGACAATGTATACTTCTTTGCTGTGTTCGACGGAGGCAGCAGGCAACAAACATGAGGCCGCGCCGCAAAACTGCACACTAGAACCACGCGCGGTTCGCGTGCGCTTAGTTTATAGTTCAAAGCAGTTCCTGCATTCTCATCGCATGCATGCGCTTCATCTCGCAATTGCAGTCGTCTCATTATTCCTCCCCCTTCTCAGCTTCTCCTCTCACTTCCTGGTGTGAAGGAATTTCTGTGGAACTCATGACCAGAGCGCGAAGAAATCAGACCAACAACAACATGTTCTGTACCGTTGGCTTCCAACGCTCCAAACCGGCCCCACGGGCCCCCAAGGTCGCCCCAAGAGGTCCCAAGAGGCCCACAAGACAGCCCACTTGGGCCCCAAGACGGCCCAAGACGGCCCCATATGACCCACAGCGCTCAAAGACGGACCCACGACTACCCAGAGAGCCCCAAGACGGCATCCGAAGGCCGGGAGGATCTTTAGAGGCCTCCAGAGGACCCACAGAGGCCCCAAAGAGGCCCCAAGATGTCCCAAGAGTCTCCAAAGATGCTCGTAAGAGGCTCCCAAGAGACCCCTCAGAGGTACCAAAGAGGCTCTCAGTAAGTCTCCAGGAAGCAACAAGAGGGCCTCAAGAGGCCACCTCTTATTATTTTTCCTCCTCTCCCTCCTCCTTATTCCCCTCCCTCTCCTCCTCCTCCTTGCTCTTCCTCTCCCAAGTGTTCCCCCCAGGGATTCCACAACGGCTGGGGGATCACATAGTCCAATAACTGACCAAGGGTTACACAACGTCTCCGATAATTGCTGGCAAGCGTGGAGACGACTGTGCGCCGGCGCCCAGGCGAGATCCACACTTTAAAAACGACCCCGCCCTCCATCTGGAACCTTGACAATCAGAAACATATGATTTCTAGATCATCGACTGTCCTGACTTTTACGCTACTCACCGAAGGCACCTGCACACCACCGCCACGCCTGGCCAGTGCCATCCTGGGCCCAGGATGGATATACGCCCTACTGGCCGAAGACGGGAGAGTCTACCATCCTGGGGCCCAGGATGAACCTGGCTGGACCTGGTGGTGGCGCACAAAGACAATCGGATCAAGAGATCGATGGGGAAACCAAACGGGGCCGCTACTCTCCGGACCTCACGCAGGGTGCGTTCTGACCAGGACTTCGAGACGAATCCAGCAGTGGCGACGAGGGCCTCCGAGGAGGCCGAAAGAGAGAAACACGAGGGGCAAGGGTGGCGGTATGGGTAATGTTTCCCCGCCTCGGAGGATCAAGCGACCAGAGCATCATGGTGAGCGGCTGCATTTTGCGGAAACAGAACACTGGCCAGAGGAGCACGGGCCCATGGTCTGGCCCGCCTCCACCCGCTCCCCGGGCACGGGAGGTAGGCAAAACGAAACGCCAGAGAGGCCGGCAGGGGCGGGAGCCAGCATGGCATTGCGCGGAGCATGAGATCTGGCGCGCGCTCTGGGGGCTTCATCGACCCTCGAGCCCCAACCTCCCGACGCCGCTGCGCCTCCATCAGCCGCGACACCATCAAGGTCGTGACGCGAATGGCCGCCTCGCGACACCGCGCTGCTGCCTCCTTCGCAGGCCCCTCCCGTTCCGACCGATCCAGGCCGCCGACTCGGCCCAATAATGTATCGTTCGTGTGCGTGGCACATCCTTTCGCCAGTTCTTCTTTTCGCCTCTTCTTCTCGCCCCCTCCTCATTCACCCCCTTTCTGTCCACGATACCTTATGTATGTCAGTTTCGCTGGACGCGGGACAACTTCGCTCAATTTTCTGTGTCAGCCTATGTCAGCCTCAATGACCCCCCTTTTCCCAGCTTCGCCCTGGTAAAACAAAGTCGTGTCATCTGTGACCTTCCCTAAGTGGTGATGCCCGAGCTTGGCCCCAGCTGAGCATGAGGAGAGCCAGAGGAAAAACCCAAGGAAAATAAAGGTAATGGCAAACACCTGGAAGGAACAAAGAGTTACGGAGAGCACGCAGGCCAACCACTCGCACACGCTGCTTAAGCCCCTGCTCAGGCACAAGCCTTACAACCCGAAGAGACGGTGTCAGGGCCCCGGTTGGGGGGGAGGCTCCCCTGGGGCCCGGGGGCAGCCTCAGATGAGGCGACTGTCCCAGGGTTCCCCAAGGGCGCCTAACTTCGCGCCTCCCGCTTCGCGCTGCGCGAACAGCTTCGTGCTCCCGCGCCGCCCCTCAAAGGGAGAAGAGGAGGAGGAGGAGGAGGAGGAGGAGGAGGAGAAGGTAATAGGAGGAGGAGGAGGAGGAGGAGGAGGAGGAGGAGGAGGAGGAGGAGAAGAAGGTAGGAGGAGGAGAAGAAGGTAGGAGGAGGAGAAGAAGGTAGGAGGAGGAGGAGGAGGAGGAGGAGGAGGAGGAGGAGGAGGAGGTAGGAGGCCTCGGAGCCAAAGCGCAAAGCGCGAAGCGCGCAGCGCTTCGCGCCCTCGCGGGCGCCCGTGTTTCCCCGGGCTCCTCGCGCCACTCTGGCCGGACCTCGCGGAGGGATGCTCCGGAGGCCGCGGGGGCCCTCTTTGGTTGAATCGGACATGTCCCCATACGGCGGGATGTTGGGCGAGAAATGGAAAATACATCACACACACACACTCCAAAATGGAAAACAAATACGTAATCAGAACATCGTCCCCAGACTATGTTGTTTACTATTGTTTGAGATTCCTCCTGTAGAGGGGCACGCCCGACGAAACTCTTCGGATAAACTGGGAGGCGCCCCGAGCCAGGGTCGGGCACACGCCAAGGTGGACTGCGGATCCGAGGATCTGGCGCGCGGGCTCTAATCAGGTCCACGGGTCGGGGAAAGCGAAAGGGGCCCTGGGACACACAAATCAATAGACACAAATAACAGGATTCCCCATATTCTCAAATATCTTCTCGGTTTTTGTCTTTCCCCCCACTTCCCATAGTTTCCCATATATCCTGGGAAATCGACGATTAATTGTGTCTGTGTGCTTTTTCCCCCTCTGGAAAATACGGCCAGACCTAGGACAGAACAAAATCATTCAAGAGCATGAGACACTCTGCCGGCCAAACTGAAGAACATTCGAGGGTACCCTCCCCCGAGATGCACAAGAGCATCAAACACACACGAACAACATTGGGGCACCCTCCCAGAACCGACCACGATCTTTTGCCTCGGTCCGCCCGTGCATCCACAAAACATGAAGCCATCGCCGCCCGGTTTGGAGGCGGAGCGTTCTGACGTTGTATGGAAGCAAGGCCCGTGTCTGATCCATGCGCCTTCGTCCGTGTTTGCGTCTCCTCGGCAGGAACGCCTCTGGCAACACCCCCCCCAACCCGCGCCCGGCCCCGGTGTGTCGCCTACGTCTGCCTGCGGGGCTCTGTTCTCTGATGCTTTGGCGCAGCCTGCATTACAGCATGCATGTTCGAGGCCGCTAACCGTGTCAGAAAAGTGTCTTGCATTACAGGTCGTTCGGCTGGTCTCGCCAAGTCGCTGAGCTCCACAAAACAATGCATGCAAGACCCCAAGAGGCCCCAAGAGGCCCCCGAGAGGCTCCCAGAGGCCCCCAAAAGACACCAAAGACGCCCTCCACAGGCTCCCAAGAGAATCAAAAACTGCCCCACAGAGGCCCCCGAGAATGCTCTGCAAAGACCCCACGAAGCACCCCGGAGGACGCTGACCCACAACCCAGGCACGGTGGCGGCATGGGCCGAAAACCATTAGATTTTAGACGCCCGAAATAGGTACGGGAAAAATGATACAATGCCCAACAGCAAATGCTGTCCAAAACCAACAGCAGCCACTGTTGAGCAGGCGGCCTTCTGTCTCAAATGGACAACGTCCGCGGCGACACCGACAACGAGCCCTGCTCAAAACATGCAGGCAATACAGCTGGTCGTTGTGCTCAATATTTTTGCACCGCATCCATCTCGATCGTCCCGGCAGATAATGCATGAACAGACGCGGAGCAACACGAAACCTTGCACATTCACAATGGCCCTTTCAACGCTGCTCTCTGGACGTATGTAGTGTTCCGTTTGACGCTTGTGGATCAAAGGATTTGCTAGTATTGTCGGTTGTTTTCATTATGATCGGACCACAACACACCAGAGGATTTACGAACCAAGCATGGCCGCGAGGAGCGCTTTGGACTGGGGAAAAAATTGTGAACACCGTATTATGGCACCGATTTCGGTGGAACTCACTATGGGACCACGAACCGTGTGAGGGATGCGCCAATTGGGGGGGGCGCCGCCATGCGAACCCCGCCACTAAGGACTTCGGTGGAACTCCCTATGGGGCCACGAACCGTGTGAGGCGTGCGCCAAAATGGGGCGGCGCCGCCATGTGGACCCTACTACTGGGGCCTTCGGCTAAGATCCCTATGGAGCCACGAACCGTCTCAACGGTGCGCCAAAATGGGGCGGCGGCGCCATGTGAACGGTACGCCCAAATGGGGCGGCTCTACCATGTGGACCCTGCCGCTAAGGCCTTCGGCTCATCTCCATATGGGGCCACGAAACGTGTGAGAGGTGCGCAAAAAAAAACAAGCGGCGCCGCCGTATGGACCCTGCCATATTGGGCCACGAACCGTGTGAGAGATGCGTAAAAAAACAAGCGGCGCCGCCATGTGGACCCTGCTACTGGGCGCCGCCATGTGGACCCTGCCGCTAAGGAATTCGGTGGAACTCACGATGGGGCTACGAACCGTGTGAGAGGTACGCCCAAATGGGGCGGCTCTACCATGTGGACCCTGCCGCTAAGGCCTTCGGCTCATCTCCGTATGGGGCCACGAAACGTGTGAGAGGTGCGCAAACAAAAAAACAAACGGCGCCGCCGTATGGACCCTGCCATATGGGGCCACGCACCGTGTGAGAGGTGCGCCAAAAAAAGGCGGCGCCGCTATGTGAACCCTGCTACTGGGGCCTTCCGTGGAGCTTACTATGAGGCCACGAACCGTGTGACGGGCGCGCCAAAACAGGCGGCGTCGCCGCTGGGGCCTTCGGTGGAGCTCCCTATGGGGCCACGAAGCGTTGCACTGGGTGTGCCGAGACACAGACACGCGGAGGGCAAAGGCGGGGGCGAGCGGAGGGAGGAGGGGGAGGAGGAGGAGGAGGAGGAGGAGGAGGAGGAGGAGGAGGAGGTGGAGGAGGAGGTGGAGGAGGAGAAGAAGAATTGGAGGAGGAGGAGGAGGAACGCGGGGCGCTCTCTCCAAGACGAGAACCCAACACCACAGGATGGTCGGGAAAGAACTTGTCCAGTTGACAGCGGGCCGCGCCCCGCTCCCCCACGGCGGGCCGGCCTCGCACTTGGCCGCCAGCAGCCGCTCGTCCACGCTCTCGCCTGGGCGGGCGCCGGCGGGGCAGCCAAGCAGCGCGCGGCGGCAGCGGGATGCGGGGGCAGCAGGCGACCACAACCACATCGAGGACACATCGTTGGGGATGTCCGTTGCATGCCGGGAACCAGCCCAGCACTGGCTGCGGTCGACGAGACGTCCCAGGGCGGCCAAATCGGCCACGACCACTGCCAAAGTGCTCCTGTCGAGGTCGGCGGGTTCTCCACCGGGGTAACCTCCAGAAACATCAGCTCAGTTGTGGCTGTGGTTCTTGGCTACGCCCGGACATGAGAGCATGGCTTGGAGACCGTGGCCTCGAGAGTGTCAGCTTTATGCCTGCCCGCCGCTTTGGCAGAGCAGGAGGGGGGGCGGAGGAAGGGGGTCACAGGAAAGGGGTGGGGGGGGGGGGGGCACGACGCGAGGGAGGCTGGGCTTCCCTCCCCTCCCTTTCTCGCCCCCGCCCCCTCCCTGCAGTCAAAACGGGCAGTGAGGATGCGCGGTAGGGAGGCAAGCCCCTTGGACGCCCAGGTGGAAGATTTTCGAGCGCGGCGGGCCATCGAAAGTGGCTGAGGACGGGCCGAAGAGGGGGCCCATCCCTGTCATCAATTTCGACTGCAGCTGCTCCCGTCCTGCTGCGCCGCTGCCGTCGAGGGCGCCCCCCCGCACGGACCCAGCGGGCCTGCCCAGAGGGGAAGCCCGTGGGACAGGGAGCTCCCTGGGCCACGAGGAGGAGGAGGAGGAGGAGAAGGAAGAGGAGGGGGAGGAGGAGGAGGAGGACAAAGGGACGGGACGGGCGGCACGCCAGGTGCGCTGCTCGTGCCATAGCTGACATCCCAACCCTCCCACCCGTCGCTTCCCGTTGCGCTGATGTTCTCTCTACCCGCTGACGGGTGCCATAGCAGACGCGGAACCCGCGAAATGACCCCTATCATATTATGCGCAATCATAAAAAAGCGAGCTGGGTACGTCGGAGGGGAGGGGGGGCGGATGAGCGAGAGGGTGAGCAGGAGGAACAGGATCAGGGTGAGGAAGGAGGCCGAGGGGGAACAGCAGCAGCATCAGTAGCAGGAGTACGAGTAGCGGGAGGAGCAGGAAGATCAGGGGAAGGCGAAGGAGTGGAAATAAGCGGGGCGACAAGATGAGGGCCCGCACCCATGGGCGGTTGTCCGAAGCGTATGTTAATTTGGCTGTCTGGTTCTCCGCGAAGCGTATGGGTCCTTGCCGCACGCCTCCCAGATGGTTCCACTAATGGCCGTCCTGGGAGGCATACTTCGGGCCTACGCGGGTGCGGGGCGGAAGAGCAGCCACGGCCCTCCTTTGGACTAACAACCGCGGGCCTTACCATATGCCAGCAGGCGACCAAGATCATGATACTTTGGGTGATGACGTGCAACTGAAATATCTTGCAGGGTGAGTTGGGGGGAAGCTCGCGGCTCCTCCCGGGGATGTCCCTCCACCGAAAACATGATCCTCCCCCCTCCTCCCTCCTCCTCTCGTTCCTCCTCCTCCTCCTCCTCCAGCCTTCTCCCCTGCCTGCTCCCCTGCTCCCTTCCCTCCTACCTGGGCGTCGTCACCCCTCTCCCTCCCTCAGCTCCCTCCTCGAGGGCGAGGCGGGAGGGGGGCGAGAAGCAAGAGGAGGAGAGATGGAGGAGGAGGAGGAGGAGGAGGAGGAGGAGGAGGAGGAGGAGGAGGAGGAGGAAGAGGAGGACGCGGAGGAGGAGGAGGAGGAGGAGGAAGAGGAGGAGGAGGAGGAGACATGGAGGAGGAGACCTGGAGCAGGAGGGGGAAGCCCGCCAACATGCCGCAGGCGCAGCACTCGGGAGGGAGGGGTGCACTGGCCCAGGATGCCGTGGGCCCCTCCCCATTGGCGCGTTCCGCCCCGCGCGCCTCTGGCCGAGGCCGCTGCGCCCTCCGCGCCCGGAGCCGTCAAAGCCGCCAGGCGACCGAGCGGGCAAGGGCGCGCGCGCTCTGCCGGAGACCGAGCGTCCCCAGCGCGCCCGGTCGAGGCCGCCTCGCTGCGAGGGGGAGGGGGAGGGGAGGGGGAGGGGGAGGGAGGAGGAGGAGGAGGAGGAGGAGGAGGAGGGAGGAGGAGGAGGAGGAGGAGGAGGAGGAGGGGAGGAGAAGGAGGTGGAAGAGGAGGAGGAGGAGTGGGAGGGTGACGAGGAGGAGGAGGAGGAGGAGGAGGAGGAGGAAAGGAGGAGAAGGAGGAGGAGGAGGGAGGTGGAGGTAGGGGGGGGAAGAGGAGGAGGAGGAGGAGGTGGAGGAGGAGGAGGAGGAGGAGGAGGGGAGGAGGAGAAGGAGGAGGAGAAGACGGAGGAGGGGGAGGAGGAAAAGGAGGAGGAAAAGGAGGAAGGAGGGGGAGGGGAGGAGGGGAGGAGGAGGAGAGGAGGAGGAGGAGGAGGAGGGAGGAGGAGGAGATGGAGGAGGGGAGGAGGGGGGGGGAGGAGGAGGAGGAGGAGGAGGAGGAGGAGGAGGAGGAGGAGGAGGAGGAGGAGGAGGAGGGGAGGAGGAGGAGGAGGAGGAGGAGGAGGGAGGAGGAAAAGAAGGAGGAGGAGGAGGAGGAGGGGGAGGAGGTGGAGGAGGAGGAGGGGGAAGGAGGAGGAGGAGGAGGAGGAGGACGAGGAGGAGGAAAAGGAGGAGGAGGAGGAGGAGGAGGAAAAAGAGGAAAAGGAGGAGGAAAAGGTGGAGGAGGGGAAGGAGGAGGAGGAGGAGGAGGAGGGAGGAGGAGGAGGGAGGGGAGGAGCAGTAGGGAGGAGGAGGAGGAGGAGGAGGAGGAGCCAGGTCCACCGCCTGGGGGAACGACGTCCTGGTGCCCCAGCGGGCGGTGGATATGGATATTTGGCCCTTCAGGGGCCCGAACATAGCCATGTGCACCGTCTGTGGAAGTCCGCGAAGATCGATTCCCCAGGCAGTGGTGATGAACAAACCCCCGTCTCAGATCTCCTCCCAGGCCTGGAGCCGACAACCAACCGCCAGACGAGCGGGCATGGACGCGCGCGCTTTCTGCCAAAGACGCCCGAGCTTCCCGGGCCCCCCGCGCGGCCGCACCGCCGCGGCCACTCGCCCATGACGCCCTGCTCCCTCGTCTGGCGACGCGCAGAGGGGGGCAGGGGGAGGGGGAAAGGCTTCTGCGCGTCTTCTTGTTCTGAGGTTCGACATTTGGCCGAGGGCGGGGGAGGGGATGCGGGGTTCTGGGTCTGGGCTGGTGCTCTGCCGACCTGCTCTCACCAGTCGCGCAAGCAGACGGCGAGGGCAGGGCTCCTGACCAGTCGCCAAAGAAGGCAGCCGCCCAAAGCAGCTCAGATCTTTGTTTTCATGTTTTTTATTTTTCATGTTTTGTTTGCTGTTTTTTCTTTTTTTCTTTTTTGCCCAAAGCAGCTCAGATCTGGTCTATGAGGGGGGAGAAAGGGGAGGGGGAGGGGGCTGGAGGCCCTCGCCGATAAGCGAAACTACTCTGACGGTGGGACCCCACACGATAATCCATTCAGCTTGCCCCTCGGCCGTTTCCTCTTCGACAGGCGCAGGCCCTCCTCCCGCTTCTCCGTCCTCCTCCTCCTCCTCCTCCTCCTCCTTCTGCTCATCATCGCCCTTCTCGCCCTGGTTCCTCAAGACTGAGGCCTGAGGAACCCAAAGGTGACGAAACTCACAAGATTTGGATGGCCCGCTCGGATTAGAACATGAAGTGCGGGCCCCATAGGGGGGGGGGGGGGGCTCCCGCCTGTGACTTCCTCACGATTCAGGCCTGAGGAGCTCAAAAGTGACGACAGTTCAGTGTGAGAGCGAATGTGAGTGATGCTGACGATGGTGGTAGGCACGGTGATGACAAATCGATGCATGGCCCCATAGGGAGGGGGCTCCCGCCTGAGATTTCGTCAAGACTCACTCACAGAGGAGGCTCCCGCCTAACTCCCTCTATGTTCATGCCTGAGGAGCCCAAGTGACGACAATTACAGGATTTGGATGGCCCGCTCAGATTCGAACAGGAAGTGCGGGCCCCCTTGGGAGGGGGCTCCCGCCTGAGACTTCCTCAAGATTCAGGCTTGACGTGCCCAAACGTAACAACAGTACCAGAAATTGGATTATCCGCTCAAATTAAAAAATAAAATACTAGCCCCATAGGGAGGGGGCTGCCACCTAAGACTTCCTCAAAATTGAGGTCAGAGGAGCCCAAAAGTGACGACTGTTACACGATTTGGATGGCCCGCTCGGATTGGAACATGCCCGTTCGGATTGGAACATGAAGTGCGGGCCCCAAGGGATGGGGCTCCTGCCTGAGACTTCCTCAAAAATGAAGCCCGAGGAGACCAAACATGACGACGGTTACAGGATTTGGATGACCCGCTCGGATTAGCACATGAAGTGCAGGCCCCATAGGGAAGGGGCTGCCGCCTGAGAATTCCTCAAGACTCACTCACAGACGAGGCTCCCGTCTGAGACCCCCTCTATGTTCAATCCTGAAGAGCCCAAAAGTTACGACAATTACAAGATTTGGATGACCTGCTCGGATTCGAAAATGAAGCGCGGGCCCCATAAGGGGGGGGGGGGCTCCAACCTGAGACTTCCTCAAGATTCAGGCTTGGGGAGCCCAAGAGCGACGACGGTGACAGGATGTGGGATGACCCGCTCGGATTAGAACAAGAAGTGCGGGCCCCATAAGGAGGGCGCTCCCGCCTGAGACTTCCTCCAGATTCACTCACATACGAGGCTCCCGCCTGAGACTCCCTTCATGTTCAAGCCTGAGGAGCCCATAAGGAACGACAATTACAAGACTTGGATGACCCGTTTGGAGAACATGAAGCGCGGTCCCCATAGGGAGGGGGCTCCCGCCTAAGAGTTCCTCAAGATTCACTAACCGACGAGGCTCCCGTCTGAGACCTCCTCAAGATTCAGGCTTCATGGGCTCAATCGTGACGACAATTACAAGAGTTGGATGACCCGCTCGGACTAGAACATGAAGTGCGGGCCCCATAGGGGGAAGGGCTCCCGCCTCTGACTTCCTCAACATTCAGGCCTGAGGAGCTCAAAAGTGACGACAGTTCAGTGTGAGAGCGAATGTGAGTGATGCTGACGATGGTGGCAGGAACGGTGATGACAAAGAGAGGGTGTGGGATGATGAGGCGATGCATGGCGATAACACGATAACGGACGGTGACATGATGATGAGTGGGTGAGTGGGTAATGAGTGAGTGTGACTACGTGAGTAAGGGTGAGTGTGTGGTTAGCGGAAATGATTGCTGGTGGCCCTGATGGGTTCATGGCATGATAATGAATGGGTGGGTGACGAGTGAATGAGCGAGATAGTGAGCGGGTGATCAAGATGATCGGTGACGATGATAGGATGGAGATGACAGGAGGAGCGGGTGAGGTGTGAGGTTCCTGCGCAGAGGTGTGCAGAAAAAAAAACAAACAATCCCACTTAGGATGTGGGGAACAAGACATAGCAAAAGACTACCTTCGAAGGAGGCTGCGCCTTAGAAGGCGTTGGCCCTGCATCTGTAAAGAAGGCCCGCGCCTTCTGAGAAGCAGGGGGGCTTCTAAAGAGCCTTACCCCCTCCCCCGTGCCCCCCTCTGCGCGTGGACGATTCGTATTCGAGGCCGTTGGGCTCACATGATCAGCCTGCTCCATGCAGAAGCGCGCCTCACCGCCCAGGGGGCTCGAACGACCGCCGATGCTCGGCGAGCGCCTTGGTGGCCATCTCCTGGACAGCCTCGAAGGTATCGGCCCCGCCGATGAAGCCGGTGGCGTGCACAAACCTCCAGGAGCGGCGAGGGAAAAGGAAGGAGAAAGGGAGGAGGGAGGAAGGAAGAGAGGAGATCTGCCCTGGAAGGCCTGACCAAACGAGAAATAAACACATGTTCGCATGTTCTTGGCGAGTTTCATCGACCCCGCCGCACTCGAGAGGAGCATGTTCCACAGGCCTTAGCCTTCGCGCGCGGGGGAACGTGAGTGAATATGAGTTCGCGTGTGTGAGTGCCTGAGTGTATATGTGTATCGGTGCGTCTGTCTATCTGCTGTCTGTCTGTCTGTCTGCCTGCCTGCCTGTCTGTCTGTCTGTCTGTCTGTCTGTCTCTGCCTGTCTGTCTGTCTGTCTGTCTGTCTGTCTGTCTGTCTGTCTGTCTGTCTGTCTCTGTCTGTCCATCTGTCTGCCTGTCTGTCTTGTCTGTCGGTCGGTCGGTCTGTCTGTCTGTCTGTCGATCT